TTTGTGGATCTCACCGTGGTACTTAACATAGGGGGAAAGTGATCTAGCTGTTTTAAAGTTGTTCCTTTGCTAGCACAATGGCCTTTTCCTTATATCCTGAATATACTACAAACATGCATATTGATTTAAAATCACTTAGTAGAATGCTTCTAAGGATCTCTGGGAAGAGAAACGTACTGTTAAACCATTGTATGTCTGTTGCCCTCAAAGCCAGAAGAACATAAGAAGAGCCCTGCTGGGTCAGACCAGTGAGGGTCCATCTAGTCCAGCATCCTGTCTCACACAGGGGCCACCCAGTTCCTCTGGAGGGCCGACAACAGGGCCTAGGAGAAAGGAGAAAGAATCTGAACTCCCTGGAGAACGGGCAGAATTTACAAAAAGAAAATAAATAAAAATGGCTCTGGATAAATAAGGCTATAATGCTATAGATTTACCTTAGTGCAGTGAATTTCCTAGTTTCCTCACTCACCCTGCCCCCCAGGGGGGGCACATGAAGTTTGGGAAGGACAAACAAGAAAGTCACTTGGAGACAGATATCTCTGGGTCTTCATCAAGATCTCCTAACTTTCCTTCCCCTCTGTGAACTGGGCCAACTTTTTTTAACCATAGTAATCACTTCATTGCCCTGACCTGAAAGGCCCAGGTTAGCCTGATCTTGTCAGATCTCAGAAGCTCATCAGAGGCTGCGGTCAGACTGGCAGGGTGGCACAGTTTGGGCATGCCACTAATTACTCCATCCCATTTTGTGATGGAGATTTTTGATCAGACTCCCACCCTGATCCGGCCTCACCGCGTGCTTCTTCCATGGCTGACCGCTCTGATGAGTGCTGCACGTCAACCGCAGAATGCGCGGTCTAGTCTTTTTTTTTTTCCTTGAAAAAAAATAACAACTTTGACTTTTTGGGGAACATTTCTTGGCTGCCCATGCACGCACATGTGCATACGCTCTACCATTTGAAAACAAATAAAATATCATTACCAAATAGATATCATTGGGCAAATAAATATCATTATCAATATCTGTTTTTACCCCTTTTGGGGGTTTTTTGGCAGTCTCATTTAATATTAATAAAAGGCAAACCTGCATATTTTCCAATAGAAACATGCGTGTGATATTTCTTCCTGTCTTGTGGCTCTCAAACATCTGATGCTTATTCTATGTGGCTCTTACACTGAGCAGGTTTACCCACCCCTGCCATAGAGTCCGCCTTCCAAAACGGCCATTTTCTCCAGGTGAACCGATCTCTGTTGCCTAGAGATTGGTTGTAATCTGTTAGCCGAATTGCTTTATTTACAGCAATTGGCAATTAATAAATGGGTTCTTGGCAGTTTATACCAAGGTCCTGTTCCCACCAAGGGTTACCAGTAAAAAATTCAAGGCTGTTGTAGTTAAAATAGATGTCTTTTTCTTGAAAATATATCTCATACAAACAGTACTGATGCCCTCACACATTCAATCAAGTTTCTAAGATTTACAGTAAGAAATAAGCAGTTTTGCATTAGCAGGTAGGGGTGATGGTGGGTGATACTTATCTGCCTTGCAGCTTGGTCGTTCCAATGAATAATGGAGGGGAAGAAATGGAAAACGAAGGGAATTCACACACGACCAGAACCAGCCAGAACATGTGGGCAGTAGAGGCAAGGGTTGGGGATAGCAAGTGGGACTTAAGAGGGGTTAAAAGCAGACAGGGGTTGTTGCAGGGGAGATGCTATCTGGCCAGGTAAGAGAGACCAGGTGACTGGTTCTCTCCTTTTCTAGTGGGTTCAAGAGATGGGCCGTAACCGTGCCAATCTCTTGGCCCACCTACCTGTTAGTCCATCCCAAAAACAATCCATTGGTTGCAAGGAGGGAGGGGTGGTTACCTAGAAGGGGTGGCCGATATTGTAACCTAAAACTTTACTCGGAGTATGGTATCTGGACAGGTGTGAAAACCTAGGCGTCAGGATGCTCCATTGTAGTGTTGGTGAAGCTGGCCGTTCTCATTGTGAACCAAATGTCCATTTGGCAGGAAATGCCAATGCAGGAACAAAGCAGTGATGGGTAGTATGTGACTACGAACAGTTCTGCAATGGGGGCTGTCTCCTCTCAGAGTTGTTGTTTTCTCATTGCTCGCAATAATGGGGGGGGGGGGGGGGGGGGTTGTTCCCGTGGTAACTGTGTAGCTGAAACCTTATTTACATGTAAGGCATGTGCAGGCACCTTCTATGTGTGGTTATCACAACAGGTGACTTAAAGTGTACAGCTTTCTAAGCCTATGTGTGTGTCAGTGTTCCCTCTAAGCTGAGTCAGTGTGAGCTAGCTCACCATTTTTTAGCCTCCGGCTCACACATTTCTGTCTTCACCCAGGAAGGATGGGGCTCCAGAGCAAACTGATTTATGCAGTAGCCAAATCGCTGACTCACAACTTTAATGCCAGTAGCTCACCGAGTAGAATTTTTGCTCACAGGACTCCGCAGCTTTGAGGGAACATTGGCGTGTGTGCACAGTCCATTGTGTGTAGCAATAAATAGTTCATAAAGCCAATATCCAGTTCATTCTCTAACGAATCCCAGGAGATCGCCAGCCACGACCTGGAAGTTGGCGACCCTATTAATTGTAGCAGAGATAAAGTTACCACCTGTTTCCTGCAGATGTTATGTTCTTGATAGCTTTTGTAATGAAAAAGTGTTCCATTTACACCATTACTTTAGTGACACATCTCTGTTTTTCTCCCCCACCCTTTCTGACAGACTTGTCTTTGCGAAGCTGAGGCTCTTAATGATAGCCATAGAATATAAGTCGGAAAAACGGGAAAGCAGGTACGTCACTCTCTACAAAGGGGACTGCTTTTGGCACCTTGGATGTCTCCCCCGCCTTCCCCCGAACGGGTTTTTCTTCCTATGTCCTCCGCTATTGCGATATCTCTTACACCAGCTTATATAACCTAATCAAATGGCTGCATCGTTCTTCCCCTGAACCAGATGCTCATAAAGTTTGTTAAAAGGAAGGATATTTTAATTTCAGCTGCTTTGAGGTCTTGGCTTTAAAAAACAAACAAACTTTGGGGATGGTTTTCCTCTTTTCACCTTGATGAAACAAATCCTCCATTTCAAATACTGGAACTTCTTTATTTGTTTTAAAATGGAACTCGGCTGTTGGAGGTTCCAAATTCTTCTGCTTACTATTATGATTATCGTTGTTATACATCTAGTGCTTTCCGCATGCATGGTGCTTCCCAGATTGCAGAAATGCAGTTCTGCGCCTCCAGGAACTGTCAGTACCAGAGACAGCACCGGAAGGGGGCCGGTATGGGGGAGGGGGGAGGGGAAGGATGCGCAAATGACCCCTGAGTCATGATATATTAACTACCTTAGCAGGAGCGGTCTAAAAAAAATAACGGTCCTAGAACAAACTCACTGAGTGGCCCTGGTGGCTGTACAAGCCAGGACTGCGGGGGTCACTCAGCCCAAGAGTACTGGCCATGGTGGTGGCAGTCCAGGAGATAATGGGTGCTCTGACACAGGTTACTTTTGCCAACAGTCAGAGCCAAGTGGCTCCTGGGGTGCTGGCAGGGTTGCTGGGGCTTGGCTGTGCTCCCACGGGATCAGCAGTGGTCCTCTAGGGCACTGGCTCACCGGGAAATGTCCCTGTTGAGTCAAATGGCCAGAGCAGTTCCCCTGGAGGAAACGGCAGCTTTGCCAGGTGGGACTCCATGGGCCAAGCTCCCTCCCTCCCCCATCCTCCAGCCTCCCTAGACTCCACTCCCCCAGATCTCCAGGTATTCTCCAAGCCAGAATTGGCAACCTTACTCCTCAGGGGATGGTGGGGAGACGCCAAGAGAAGCAGCAGCCTTCGCCAGACCCGGTCAAGAGGACTGAAGGGCCACAGTGGTTGTCGACCCTGGGTTGGGAAATTCCTGGAGATTTGGGGGTGGAGCCTCAGGAGGGTGGGGTTTGGGGAGGGCAGGGACCTGAGCGGGGTCTAACGCCATAGAGTCCACCCTCCAAAGCAGCCATTTTCTCCAGGGGAACTGATCTCTGTTAACCTGGAGATCAGTTGTAATTCCGGGGAATCTTCAGGCCCCACCTGGAGGTCGGCAACACCTATCAAAAGCAGAGGTGAGCGTAAAAGCAAACAGCAGACACTTTCCCTCGTGCCCCCCCCCCCCCCC